CTGATGTATAGGGTTTCTGTTGTGATGCAGGCTGCAGGTGTCTGCTAGGGACAGGCCAGTGGTCCTTTCTGAAGGGAGTGCTAGTGTTAGCTGGTGCTTAGAACAGCCTGGAGTTGTGCAAAGGCAGGAACTCACTGGTGGGGGGACAGGAGAGCCTGTTGCCCCCAAGTACAGGTGAGGGTGCTAGGCTGTGCTATGTGCTCCATTGCAGGGGTGGTTCTGTATGCACAGGCACTGCCATCTGTGGAACCCAGGCCAAACAAGTATGTAGAGAGGAGCTCTTCAGGCTCAGCAGAGTGTGCATGGAAGGCTGGCATGAGGTCTCTCTCTCTGCCACTGTTTCTAAACCCTGATGAAAAGGGCACCCTAAGTATTGTAATTTATGTACTGTTGAAGTGCATTTTAATGACTTATGTCAGTGCAAGTATTTGATCAATAGATGGAAACAGGCAGCAAGAGCAGTGTCTAGAAGGGTGGTTTGTTTACCTGGAGACAAAGCACTTTACCCTCACACAGCTGTAGATCTGTTCCCTAGTTAGAGCCCAAATGGTATAAGGCAAACAAGAAATTGAGTGCCTGAGATGAGTGTAGGGACTTCTCCCTTTCATCTCTCCTGTGTGGATAGGAATGGGACTTGAGCTGATGTGCTGAATACACCAGAAGCATTGCTGAACAGAGCTTTGGGTAAAGTTCTACTTTAATTCTGTGTCAAACTCTTTGGTAGAGGCACCATGCTTCCTTACTAAAGGATGGCTCTCTATATCAAATGCTACTCATGGAGGAACGTGGAGGTGAGGGGAGGTTTGCCATGCTGTGTTCTGAGAGAGATCAGCTAGTGTTCCAGCAAAGCTCTGGTCACAGGTTCACACAGTGTAGATCTGATAAGCAAGGGGGTACAGCCAATGTGTATTTCTGGTTCTGCAGGTACCCTTGCACCTTGTAATGTTCTCCGGTAACCTTGGACCTCTGCTTTTCAATTGCCTGCTTTCCTTTAAAAAGGACCATGAGAGAATACCAGCATCCTACAGTGGTTACTGCCTTCTAATTGAAGCAAGCCATAAAGAAACTGTGTTTTCCTCAACTATAGTTCTGTTCCTTGTTGTAAGTTCCCTGTATTAATCCCCCATCTTTGCCTCCTTTTCCCCACCCCCAGGACTTTGGGGGCTGCAGAAAATCACTCTCAGACGTTAGCCCATGTATGCATTCTATAAGCCTATGATTCTATCAATGTGCAGTCACATGCTTAAATATTTACTTTGATAACGAAAAGGGTGGTGGCAAAACCCTTTCTTGGTTGAGGAGGCAATAGGCATATGGCATGTATTTATTCTTTCTGGCTGCTTCCTTTTTCTCCTTTTAGTTGTCTCCTAGGATTTGCTCTCATTTTCCAAACCTGAGCAAGTTCAAACAGCTGTAGGAAACCAAATACATATTTCTATGGCATACAACTGAGCTTTCTGTATAAAACAGTCTATTTTATAGCTCTTTGATTAATAAAGATGCTCTGGTTGAGAGGCATTTCTCAGAGTCCCGTAGGAGTCTGGAATTCATTCCTACCACTAAAAGAGACCCAGACACAGCTTTGTAGTTGAAAGTATTATTTGAGAAAATCCTAACTTCTCTGAGTGCTCACTATGAATCTGTTAGTGTAAAACTTAATCAAATGAACAAAACTGATGTAGAAGCACCTGGGTTTGTTGGGTTTTTTTTATAGGTAAAGTTGAAAAAGACACAAATCTACCTTAAATGTAAAATACTTCTATCATTTAATAGAAGCTTTTCAGTTTAGGGGTTACTTGAATACCACAATTAAGACTGGCTTGGAGGAACTCTTTAATTTTCTCTTCTAGAAGCTTTTCAACAGTATCCTGACACTTGAATACAAGAGAAAGTGAAAAATGTCCTGTAAGCAACTCCATTAAGACATCAGCTATCAGACCCAAAGTAACTGACATGAGAGGCACAGGTAAAGAACAGAAAAGGCTTTATTAGGGTAGACAGATTTTATTGTTGCCACTGTACTGGGAAACTCACTGTAATCTCAGTTCAGGTAACATTCAATAGAGAATAAATCCCAATGTCTTAGGTCAGTAGGTATCAGTGCCATGCTAAGTTAGGGTATGTTCCTGAACAGACTACAGAAGATTTGGATATGCAGAACAGTTTATATTAAAACAAAAAAAATTTGTTTAAGATTGTCACTGGATATTTACTGCTTTCTACGTGTCCCACCTCTTTCATTTTCTTTCCAACCCAACAGCTAAAGGAAAGAAAAATCTTAAAAACATACACATATTTCTCTGTTATTTGTTTTCTAGTAAGGCAGTGAAATCTTCCTTTCAAAATAAAGCACTAGGCATTTTTCAGTGTTACCTTTTCACCAAGAGGACAAGCTCCTTGTATCCAAATATTGGGAACAGTGTCATCATTTTACCACAGAAGTGGCTTTTCTAGTCTGAGGGATCCAAAATGACAGTGTGACCTCTGTAATCCCCATTTTCTATTTCTGATTATCAGTCTTAATATTGCTTAGAGGAGCAGGCCATCAGTGGGATGATCAGAAGCAGCCCTGTTTCAGTAATCTTGCTCTGAGATGCTTTCTAAATGGACCTGTCAGAAGTTTTCTTTTATGGCCCAGTTAAGCACTATGCACAGATTCACAATAAGTGACTGTTCTCCTCTGTGATTGTTACTCTTCTGTGCAAATAAATAGTGGCTTCCCAGGAAAAACTGGAGCAGTTCACATTCAAAATGATTAGTACCATGTGCATTTTATAATGTACTTGAGAACAGGTCCAGGACTCCTAAAGAGTACTGCAGAAGGTACAAAATCTCACAATACATGTTCATGGTTTCTTTCTGTATCAGTGGTGAATTGGATTGATATATTAATTTTTTTCCCTTAAAAAGAGCTGAGCAGAAGAGCATGGTCCCTGTTAATCAGAGGGAACAAAAATATCCTCCATGGCTTCTTAGATCTTATAATTAAAGAAAGTATGCAGTGAGGGAGTTAGTGCATACATTCACTATTAGAATGGAGGAGCGTAATTGGGGAAAAAGAAAATAAATCTGTAACTGACATTTAAGAATATTTTTTCCTTATTCAACTCCAAACAGAGCATTGTAAATACTGTACTGAATTTAAGAGGTAACTTGATTCTTTATCTTTTAGCTTCTAATAATATAAGAAGCAAGATGTGGTTCTAGATAGGAGAGGGTCTTGTTTTGCAGAAAACTGGCATATGTCTTGTTCTG